TCAGAATTGAGTTTAAATTACTCGGAACAGAAAGGTACTCTTACTACCCTCTATGTGCTCAAACATTTTACTGAGTACTCCTCTGCCTCCTTACCATAACCGAAACGCTGAGGACTCATTTCCCCTGCAGGACATTTAAGTGGGTGTTATTCCTTTTACCACATTCCATGAACCTCAGGGCCAAGAACAGGGGTTGGTAACGCTCTATTGCTGCTTCCAGGCCATTCTTCCTCTATTTCCCATGTATTAGTTTGCTACCACAACAAAGTACAACAAACTGAGCGGCTTAAACAACAGAAATTTATTTTCTCACAGTTCTAGAGGCTAGAAGTTCTACATCAGGGTGTCAGCCAAGTTGTTTCTTCTGAAGCTTCTCTCCTTGATGTATAGATGGGTGACTTCCCCCTTACCTTTCCTCTATGGGCGTCGTCTGTGACCTAATTGCCTCTGCTTCTAAGGACCCCAATGTTATTGGATTAGGGCCCGCCCTAATGATCTAATTTAACCTTAATTACTTCTTTAAAGACCCTATCTCCAAATATAGTCACATTCTGATATACTAGGGGGTAGGACTTGAACATGTGAATTGGAGTGGGTGAACAATTCAGTCCGGCACACCCTCCTACTCATTCTTAAACCTTTGAAAATCAAGCTTCTACCATGGTATTTCCCTCTTGGTAGTTGATAATCTCTGACCTGATTATTCTCCCTTATTTAGAAAATGTAAGCACCTGTTTACAAGCCTTGCCTTCATCTTGAATAATTTCAAAACCACATCAATGTCCTACCCTCCAATAATCTGTTTTATTCAGTTCTCTGATTTCTTGAGTTTCTTTCTTCCACAATCACACATTGAATGCTACCATCACCCATAACTCCTCTATCTCCAAAATCTCCAAATTAAATATGTCCTCTGCTCTCTTCCACCTTGCTGATACTATTGCTGCATTTTAACTCTTCCTTAGCATCATAAGAAAACATTGAGATCTCTAATTTTTCCCAATATTTCAGGTTTCTTCTTTCTTCATTTTTCTCCTTTTCCAAATTAAATTTCATAGTTAACAATTTCAATTGTACCCTTACAAATATAACAAGCACCCTTGTTTCTCATTTTTTTTAACCGTATCTGTATGACAACTCCTGAGCCATGGATGAACCCAATTATATCTTGTCTATATCTTGCCACTGAAAGAGAAAGTCTAGTGAAAACAAGTTCCACTATAAATATGTGATACTTACCAACTATATTTCTCCGGCCAATTCATTCATTCAACTACTTAAAACAATTTTTTTTTTACTCTTCACAAACTTCTACTTTATTTCCTGCTCCATCCCTGATCTTATCTTCCACTCCACAGAGAAAATAGAAGCACTCATCTTTTTCAGATTAAACATATCAATCTATTTGGAATACACTGTCTATCCATCTCCTATGAGATCTTTCTTCTTGTAGATTTCAAAGGAACCTGAAAAATAGGATGTTTGTCAAAACAGTAAAAAGCCTTATTATGGAGCCTTGGGATTATCTATTTTTCATTCAGTTTTGTGATAAATGAAGTTAATTGTGCTGCCCTTTGCATAGGAAATTGTGTTGCTAGCCTTTATTGGTGACATGTCCAGGACTAGTCAATTAATATTGATCCTGAATTTATATTATCAGTTAACTCAAATTTATCCTTTGTCAAATGGGGAGTAATAAGGCATATCCTTTGTGCCCTCAAATCAAGCTGAAATTAACTTACCTAGACATCAGAATCCTGAGATTCCAATAATGTGTTTTCACATGTTAGTGGAGTGCCTTAGACATAAGAGTTACTCAGTAATTATGTATTGAATAAATAAAATTTAAAAATGGATAAATGAACTAAGCAGGCTCTTAGATTTCTATATAAATCATCAGATAATTTTTTAAATTTTGAAAAGATGTCACAAATTCATAATTTTTTTGCTTATTTTAGATATTTATATGATTCTTTTTATTTGCTATGTTTCTCATTTGCTACCCACCAGGTGGAACATGCTATCAACATTTTATAATTAATAATTTTCCCTTTATCTTTTTTGAGATATTTGAACTTGAAGAAGAGGAGATGGTCTTCATTTGCTAAATCACTTAAAAGTGGCAAGAATTGTACAATTCTGCTAAAGAATGAAAATAGAATTAGTGGTCATGTATGTGAGGAATAGGCTGCTGGATTTGAGAAATGATACTTTTTTTCTCCTTAATAATGTGATGGAATTGTTATTTTTGGGAAAGAAACACAGTCATATATAAGTTAAAGTCAGTTTCCTGCTAGCAATCCCAACTCAAAATAAAATACAGAGAAATTTATATTTCAAAATTTAGGCTGAAAAATAACTTCAGAAAACATCAGTTGAAGTGGATGATTACTTTGAGACTTCTCTGTCATAACCTTTACCTTGGTCTTTACAAGGCTGCTGAGGTGACCAGATTCCCCTTTAAAAATCTAATGTTGGGAATTCAAATCTGTAAAGTTTTCCCAATCTTCAACCCTTTTTCTTGGATTTCTATCACCACTTGATCTGAAATCTTGACATTTTTGACCTTTGTTAAACAGATATGCAATACTTTAAAATTATCTTTTACATAGTTAAATATTATTATGGTACAAGTGCATTAAGAAATTTGAAAAACAATACAATTTTGAGAGGGTTGAATTTATATTTTTGGGTAAATTGAAAATTAATCATATGACAGAATATCCAAATAAAATATATTTACTTTGCATTTTGAAGTATCTCAATGTGAAAGGACAATTCCCAAGAAGAAAATAACTATCCTTCTTTAACTTTAAATTTTCATCAGGTGAAGGAAGGGATACAAGAGAAAACAGCAATAATAGTTATTTTTATAGACAAAAATATTAAAGCCATAGAAAAAAGTTCAGGCTGAGTCTAGTTAATATGGAATAATTTTCAAAGGTGGCTATGAGAGTAATGGTTGGTCAGCAACGTGATAGAATACCATTGGAATAAGCAAACCAAAGGCTGATACACAGATTACAATACAGGAGAAGAATAATAGTTAACAATAAAAATTAATCTGTGAGAAACATTTACTATAATCAGATAACACTTGACAAAAATACAAAATCATTGATGGAATAGATAAACAATAAAATTACTGCTTTATTTCCGCTAGTCAATTATTTTGGTGCAGCAAAAATAACTTTTGTTCAGTGGCTCTTGACTAAGGAAATATAAACGGATTTCCTAACCCAGAACAAGAGTGGGATGAGGGGTGGCGTGGGGACCATTGGAGGATATAAGAGGGAGGAAATTGTACCATATGCTCTAATTTGGATTTGGACAGCTTTTTGGATGTCTTTAGTAATAAACAGGATTTCTGCTTTTTGTCTTCTTGATATGGGGTTTACATTTTGGGGGGAAAATCTCTCTAGTTTAAGGAAACAAATGAAAGACCTTCTGGTTTGAATATTTATTTTAATGAGAAGAAAGACCATTTGGATGAGGAAGGTGAAGAAAAAACAAGTTTATGCTCCCCTGATGTGCTCTATGATCACGTCTGTCTCATCCAGCTCTAATTTTCTTTGATTTTAACTCATCTGTATGACTAGACATCTGTGAGTATTTATGCCTTTTTTGGTTATGTGCTGTCCCATTCTGGCTATCCATCAAATCCAGAGCAGACTTCCCAGCAATGTTTTGTACAAAATGTAGAGTAGAATGATAACTGATTAGCATTACGTGATAAATGGACATTCTTCAGCTGAAACTGTAAAGTGCAAAACAGCTGAGACAACATATGAGCAGGAAATATAGTGCATAGTCTGTCTCTTGGTTCCTGTTCACACAGCTAATTTTTTACTGCTACAATTCAGAACTATATTCAGCTCAGGCGCTGTATTTGCTAGCCAACAAATATGAAAAACGGGATAATGCCCTTTTGTCTGCACATATTTGGGGGAACAAATTTTAATGACACATTACTAGGATGATATGTTTCCTAGTGGCAAAAAGTAAACGGTAATGGCCAAAGTGACTGATTTCAAGTCTTCTGCTAGAACTCCTGAGTATGTAGCTCCCGGCAAAGAAATGCTGCAGCACTGAGTCTCCTGTTATTTTATTCTCCTAACTCAGATTAATCCCTTGATAACCCCTGAAATAGATTAAGATTTACAAACAAAAGCCTATAAAGTAAGTGAGAAAATGTGACCAGGGGCAGGCTGAGATGGGAACTCCTGCTCTGTCTAAAGGGCTCCAACTTCTTGCCACCAGCCAATTGTGTCTCCGTACTAATGTGTGGACGAATGTTTCCAAATTTTCCATCTTTTCTAAAGAAGTTAGAAATCCATATTTTTAAAATTGTAAGTTCCTTAATTTTAAAAGTTTACATATTTTCTTTTAAACAAACACAGTGAAAGTTAAACATCATCTGCTCTGAGGTTTAACTGATAAACTGTTGGTTTTTAACCTCTATCTTAGATATTTAAAAATGCTCACAGTTATGTGGTACTAACAAGAGCCGACAGTTCAATATGTAGTTAAAAATATACCAAACAACTATCAAAGTTTAAGCATAAGCCTTACATTACATTGTATCTATCATCAACTGTCTTGGTTGATTTCTTAAAGCGCTAGCTTACAATAGAGTATTAAATCAAGGAGTAGTCTATTACAGTAATTTTTCATTAATTGGTACTTTCTCAGTTCAGTTGGAAGAATTCTAATAGATTCTCTTATCCAATTTGCTTACTGTAGAGATGAAAACAATGAGAGTCAAAGATGAGCTGATGAATCCAAAGCATTTTAGCAAACAAGGAAGAAACATTGACCTGCACCCAGGTGTTCCTCCCACATTCTCTTTCAGTGCCGGTTCACTGCATCAGGCTTCTCTAATTGTAACAATGGAACAAAGGTTAGATTATGATTTACTTAGCACCACTGCTACATCAAGCTTTTCTGTGTGTAATAATGAGAACAAGTGTTAAATTATGGTTTACTTAGCACCAACTATGAGAAGAGTGAATTTTAAACAAATAATCTAAGTAACGTTGAGAGCTTTTACCCTCATAAAAGAACACACTACTTTAAACCACTTCAGTTCATTTCACTGTGATCAGATCCTGAGAGTGGCAGGATAATTCTTTGGTAAGATAAATGCAATTTTTAAAAACTTAATAAACTGCAAATGTTATTAACTTATTGTTTCTGGAAAGTAACACAGCAGAATTTCTTTATAATAACACTTTAAACCTAAGAAATTTTAAATTCAAATATATAGATGAACTTTTCTTGTTAATCAAAACTGGAAATATTTTACAATTTTTAAATTGGTCTGTATAATTAGTATTTATTTTGCTTCAGAGATTAAACAAATCATATTGTTATCATAGTAGTCCATTCATTAATTTCGGAAATCTAATAACCATGTCAAAGCTTTAACATTTCGAATGGTAATTTTTCATTGGCCTCTGGGTGTTCATTTCCCTCCCATGGATCAGAGTAAATTAAAATTTAGATAATTACATCTATTTCATCAGGAAATAATAGTTTTTTCTTTCCTGTGAAATATAATGCTTGTATATTTTGTGCCTGAAGGCTGGGGATGCGTATCTTCTAGTTAAATTATATACTTCTTTCAAATCATGGACTCTCTAGTTTCAGGTAAAATTGTACTAGATTTTGTGCATATTTTTATTTGTTTTGTTTTGAGAATAATTTGCAATAGGATTACAACCTTTGCAATATTTTCTATTTGAATTTTGAGAATGTACTTGTCTGACGTTTGGTCTTTTTAAAAAAATCTTATTTGGAAATTTGTTAATGTTTCTTAAAATTTTATTTTCCCAAGTTCTTTCTGTAATCTGATAAGATTTTTATTAAGCCCATTTTGAGTTCTAAAAATATTTAAGAACATTTGTTATTATGTACACATTGAGTAAAATGTTTATTTTTGCACAGGGAAGGATGACTGAGATCATGCTTACATTTTGTCTTTTACGATACCAGTTGCCTTATGCTGCCCAGGACTTCCCAGGTACCAAAGTTTAGACGTCTCACCTTATGTATGATTTATCTTCTGGGCCTAACTTTTACCTCTACCACATTTTTGTTCCCCATTTCCAAAGATTACATAATAAATTACTTTTTAATATGCTAATGTTTGTAAAATATTAGGTCAAGTAAGACTAATAGTATCTTTCACAAATTCACAAATTTCACATTCACAAATAGTGCCCTAATCTAACATAGAAATCCAGTTTAACAGCTATGTTAACCTTGAAGCTCCATCCCAGGGCTGTTAGCTACCAGCCAATAAAATCCATCCTCTGCCTCTTTTGTAATATACCTGGTCACCAATATTAATGATTATCTTGTTCTGTCTTACGCTTTATAGCCCACCCAACCTATTTCCCAAATCCTGGGCTGCTAACGTCGTGAACACTTTTAGTGCCTTGGATCTTATTTCATCCCTCAAACCTGGGTATTAGCATTGTTTCTCTTGTCTTCCTTGTTGGCTTTCCTCTTTAACCATGATTTGTACTAGTTTCCTTGAAACAAAGTAGGTTTGTGTTAAGCAAGAAAGATAGGAAAATGGATGCAAGGTCAAAATGCCCAACAACATTTTTAGAGAAATAATATGCAAAATTAAGTCATAGACTTCATAAAGTCAATGAAGTCATCGACTTTTAGTGTTGAAACATTGCTTCGGTACTTAGAATGTAAACATATGTGACCAATGTGAACTCAGCTACCTTTAATGTCAAAGATTTATATTGATTTTATGGTGGCATAGTAAATTAGTTGATTATTTCATGAAATGGCTTCAGTGCCTTCTCCAGGGAAATGTAAGTAAAAATATTCCTAGAGGAATGTATGAAATGTTAGTCATCTCTCTTCTAATATTATCTATCTTCAGAGACTCTAAACAAAGCTCCTCTGACATTTGGTAAGATTTCATTTGGATGCTTAAAACTGTCTTCATTACTGTTTCCAGAACCATGGTATTCTTTCCAAGGTATGTTGGAACTTTCATTTTATTACAGGGAAAACTATCAGTGTTCTGTATGTAGTATAGTCAGGGTTTATATTTTCTCTAATCCCAGTAAGAATTTGCTTCCACTAAGCTATACAGTTAAATGTACAATGGTGTAATAAACAGGTGTGAACTTCAAAGATACAGAAAAAGCAAAGCTTAGATATTGCCTGCATTCCGTTCTCCCACATATTCCCTGGGGCAGATGGAGTGAGAGGAGTCGCCTACACATTGCTGTTGTGTTACCTCATTCTTTCCTCATTATATTCTATTATTTCATAATCATTTGTATTGTTTAATACATTGCATGTTATTTTCCACCTGGTTTGTCCTCATATAAAAAGTCAATGCATGAACAACAAAGACACTTTTCATTAATGAACACGTATAGCTCTTTGGTAACATGCAAGGACTGGTATATTCTGCAGATGGATGAAAGAGTAACTGAGTACATGTTTATGTGCGTATGCGACTGTGAGGTTATACCAACATCTTCTTGTAAACTGAAACCTTCCACATCATGTGTGCTTAGTGAATAAGAATTGCTCAAAGAATGCCTTATATATAAGAAAGGATAGGAACTCAAAGATATTTCTGAGGTTTTGGAAGGCCACATACTGCCTCTTCCCCTGCCCCAACTATCCACAATCCTCTTTTATCTACTGATTGATGGTTGCAATTAATTCTGGTGTCAGAATTTATAATAACTTCTAATTTACAGCTTTTTGGTCTGTTAACAATAAATTATTATTGGGTGATTAATACTTAAGTGGTTAGTCATTCATGTGAATAAAAAAAAACAGAGCAATTTTTTAGTGGGGAACTTGTGGAATGATTCTAAGAGTCCTAGAAGTTTTAGGAAAAAAGGATGCTAAACATTCCTGTATATGCTTGCATGAACATCAAGGAAAGAATGAAAGGATACCCACTAGGTTGTTAATATTGATTATCATGAAGTCGGGATTTGACCAGCATGATGTTGGAGAGGGATGAATAAATGATTTTTTAATTTATATATTTTTGCATTGTTTTACTTCTTAGAATAAATATGTATTATTTTGTAATAAAATGTAATAAAGAAAATAAAAATTAGAGTGGGGGAAAAGAGGTCTGTTAAGTGAGAAGGATCACTTTATGGAAGATGTCGACCCTTATAGTTGTCATAAGTTTACTCTGAACTACTCTGTGAATGCCACAGTGAGGCTATCAATAAATTTAATGTGTCCCATTAATGAAGGTTTTGTGAATGTAGCATGTAGGTTGGAAGGTGCAGCTGTGATGATTCCCAAAACAGGTGGTATTAAAAATCATTCCGGAGAACTGCTAGCTTAATTAACTTACTATTGTGGTTGGGTATTATCATCTGGCACTAGATGAGCAACCCCGTAGAAGGGCCTAAACAACAACAGCAACAACAAATAATAGAGTATTGACCTTTTTTTTAAAATTTTATTTTTTCCTTTTTCTCCCCAAATCCCCCCGGTACATAGTTGTACGTTCTTCGTTGTGGGTACTTCCAGTTGTGGCATGTGGGACGCCACCTCAGCGTGGTTTGATGAGCAGTGCCATGTCTGCGCCCAGGATTTGAACCAACGAAACACTGGGCCGCCTGCAGCGGAGCACGCAAACTTAACCACTCGGCCACGGGGCCAGCCCCATAGAGTATTGACCTTTAAACACTGTTATCACAACATTAAACTAGCCAAGACAAAACTTTTGATGATTGCCATGAGAATATAATACACTTGTGAAGGGTGGCAAAGAATAAGAATTGAAGAGAGTATTAAAATGAAAATAATTGTATTACAAGGGTGGATGACAAGTAATTAAACATTTTTGAGTATTTGTAAGTTTTTTACTTTAAGATAAAAAATAATCTCGATATAGGAAGGAGATACCTCAAAGTAATTATGTGGTAAGCAGTCCCATACGTTTGTATGAGAAATTGGGCTACCTGTACCTTTTTGTTTTCATTTAAGAGCTGCCAAAAAAAAGTTAACAATCAGCCTATCTTTAGAAATTTGGATTTCATGGGTCTGTAGTCGTGACCAATGCTATAATTTTTTAATAGTTTATTTATTATTGTTAATTAATTTTAAAGTGTACAATTTGCTTGTACTATTTTTAGTGTACAAGTGTAGAGAATTGACAAAGTTGTACAATCATCATCATTTAACTCCAGAACATTTTCATCACCCCAAAATGAAAGCCCTTACACGTTAGCAGGCATTACCCATTCTCTTCTTCCTCCAGCTCCTGACAACTGCTAATCTAAGTTTCTGTCTCTGTGGATTTGCCTATTCTGAACATTTCAGGTAAATGGAGTCATGCAATACATGATCTTTGTGTCTGGTTTCCTTCATTTAGCCATAATGTCTTCAAGATTCATCCATGTTGTAGCAAATATCAGAACTTCACTCATTTTTAAGGTTGAATAATATTCCATTTTATGGCTATATCATATTTCATTTATCTATTCATCAATTGATGGACATTTGTGTTGTTTCACATTCATGGCTGTCATGAATAATGCTGCTACAACAGAGATATTGAAGTTTTTGTGTGGGCATATGTTTTCAATGCTTTGGGATATATACTTTGGAGTGAAATTGCTAGGTCAAATGGCAACTCTATTAACTTTTAGAAGCTTTCAAACTGTTTTATAAAACACCTATAGTGTTATGTTCCCTTTAGTGATGTCTGAGGATTGCAATTTCTCTACATCCTCGTTAATGCTTGCTATCATCGATCTTTTTGGCTATAGTCATCCTAGAGGATATGAAGTGGTATCTCATTGTGAATTTGATATGACCTTCCCTAATGACTAATGATGTTGAGCATCTTTTTGTGTGCTTCTTGGCCCCTCGTATAGCTTCTTTAAAAAATGTTTGATTCAATCTCAATTTTTACATTGGTGGTTTGTCTTTTTATTGTTGAGTTGAAATTGTTCTTTATATATTGTAGATACAATTCTACTATCAGATATATGATTGCAAATACATTCTCCCATTCATTGAGTTGTAATTTCAATTTCTTGGTTCAGTTCATTGCAATTGTTATGATAATAGAAATATATAAATTTGTGGGTACTATAATTTTGTTTATATGGATAGGCATAAGATTGGAAGGGCATGTTATAATGAAAATAATTGTTATGATGGTAGGATGATGAGTAATTAATCATTTTTTGTGCATAATGGCATTTTCCCCTATGATTAAAAACAATCTGAGAAACGTGTACATATGAGAGTAGTAAATAAAAGGAAGCACAAGCGTTTTAAATTTCTAAGTAGTCTTATTTATCTTTTGTTCCTTCTGCTTATGGTGTCATATTGAAGAAACACTACCTAATCCAAGATCATGAAGGTTTATATTTATATTTTCATCTAATAGTTTTATAGTTTTAGCTCTTATATTTAGTTCCATGATCTGTTTTGAGTTATTTTTGTATAAAGTATGAGAAAAGGATTCAACTTCATCCTTTTGCAGATGGATATCCAGTTGTCACAGCACCACTTGTTGAAAAGACTGGTCTTTCCCCTTTGAATTATCTTGGCACTCTTGTCAAAATCAGTTGACCAAAAATTTAAGGGTTTAATCTGTATGCTCAACCTACTATACTGGTCTGTGTGTTTATTCTTATGCCAGTATCACGTTGTTCTTGTTTATTGTGGCTTTGTGGTATGTTTTGAAATCGGGAACTAATTTGTTCCTCTCTTTTCGAAATTGTGTATACTGGATCCCTTGAATTTTTGGATCAGTTTTTCAATTTCTGCAAAAACAGCAGCTAGAATATTTATTGGAATTGCACTGAATCAGCAGATCAATTTTGGGAGTATTGCCATCTGTATTAATTTCCTGGGACTGCTGTACAAAGTACCACAACCTGACTGGACTAAACAACCGAAATTTATTTTCTCACAGTTTGAGGAACTAGAAGTCTAAAATCAAGGTGTCAGCAGAATTGGTTCCCTCTGAAGGCTATGATGTAAAGTCTGCTCCATGTCTCTCTCCTAGCTTTTGGTGATTTGCTAGCAATCTTTCAGGTTCCTTGTAGATGACATTCTCCCTGTGTCTTCACGTTGCCTTTCCTCTACATGTGTCTCTTTCTCTTCACATGGCTTTGTTTTTATAAGGACACCAGGCATATTGGAATAGGAAGCCATTCTACTGCAACATAACCTCATCGTAATTTAACTAATTACATCTGCAAAGACCTTGTTTCCAAATAAGGTCACATTCTGAGGTGCTGAGGGTTAGGACTTCAACACAGAAAATTTAGGGGGACACAATTAAAGGACACACTTAAGAATATTTAGTCTCTGATCCATGTGCATGAAATATTTTTCCATTTATTTAGGTCGTCTTTCTTTTCTTTCAATGTTGTTTTGTACTTTTCAGTGTATAAGTCATATTTCTTTTTTTGAATTTATTCCTAATATTTAACTCTTTTGATGTTTTCATAAACGGAATTAATTTCTTAATTTTATTTTTAGATTATTTATTGCCGGTGTATAAAAATACAATTGAGTTTTGTACACTGATCTAGTATCCTGCAACATTGCTGTACTACTTTATCAGTTCTATGAGTTTTTGTGTGGCTTCTTCAGGATTTTCTGTATACAAGGTTATGCCACCCGTAAGTAAAGATAATGTTACTTCTTTCTTTCCAATATAAAATCTTCTATTTATTTTTCTCATCCAATTTTCCTGGCTGGAACCTCCAAACTATATTGAATAGAAGTGGTGAAGACACACATTTTTGTCTTTCTTGATCATAGGGAAAAAGTTTGCAGTCTTTCTCCATAAGGTATCATGGCAACTGTGAGTTTTTCCTTAACGTTCTTTTATCAATCAGGTTAAGTACTTTACCTTTTATTCTTAGTTTGTTCAGTGTTTTTAATGGGAATGGACATTGGAATTCTTCAAATGCTTTTTTCTGCATCTATTGAGATGATCAAGTATTTTTTAGGTTAGT